ATCCATCCATCCATCCATCCATCCATCCATCCATCATCATCCATCCATCCATCCACCCACTCATCCATCCATCCATCCATCTATAATTTATTTATTCCATCTATAATATAATTTTCTATAATTTCTAACAGTGGAAAGTTGCTTGTTGCCAGATTTGGCAACTTAGCAGGTAACATGAAACCCTATAAAGATGCCGCGTCATGTGACGCCATCGATCTCGTCCAATCGTATCTCGAATTTGGTCAAACGTAAAATGGACCGTGCCGAAAACTAGCTGTGTAATTTTCTGCTTTGCTTCCTGACGAAATGCAGAATCAGGAGCAAGCGACGCCGTAGGAGGAACATTCCTCAGCCGAGCTTCGTATTTGTTCTCACTCCTCTGGCCCTAATTACACCTCTGAGCCTGGTGTTGACATCACTGTGAGTGTGTTGCACCTGCGGGTGATGATTTACACCTCCACCCCTTTCATTAGTGCAGCTGCAGCCGAGCAGAGGTCAATTAGGCCTGACTCAAATCGAGTGTGTGTGAAAGCCTTTAGAACACACACTCGTAACGTGCGTTGTTTGCTGCTGTCGGCTCTTGGCAATCACGCTGCTCTTTCTCTTGCCAGTTTTTTTTTTTTTTTTTTTAATTTTACGAGAAGGTACGGTGACCAGGTATGTTGACTTTTTAGTGGCTGATTTGAAAAACACCAGAGAAGGCAGTCAACAAAGGACAGACAGAGACATGGTCACCTCTCACCTGCAGGTGGTGCAGCGAGAAAGGGATAGAAAAAGACTCAGTTTTGAACAGCAACAGTTTAATTTCAAGCAAATTCATCTTTTAGTAGAAAATATAACTAACATGTTTCTCTGTATAAATCACACGCTCACAAAAAGTCTGCCAGTTCTTACAAAAATACTTGGGTCAATTCTCAGACTTTTGATTCGCTGTCGATCGCCTGAGGTCTATAATTGAAGCCGCGTTGAGCCGCACTGCCGTTACCACACATCACCGACTTCCTTCATTCCATCTGGCCAAAACCAAATCACCAGGCCGACAGTCATGATGCCACCGGCACTAACGCTGCAGTGGGCGGAGCCAGTGTTTGGATCGAAATCCACCAAAAAGTTCAACCTTGTTCTTTTCCAACCATAACACATGGCTTTGAGACTGGAGTTTGGTTTTGCGAAACAATTCCGGATGGAAAATTCCTGCAGATTCTTTAATGGTTGGTTAGGCCTCTCTGCCCGACCTGCTTTCTTCTCGTCTTTAAATCAACTCTGCCAGTAAGTTCTGATGTCCTCTCCCCTCTGTTACCACTGCCTTCAATGCATTCTGTTGTATTTTTATATTTTTTCTTTGAATAAGGATTCCTCTGCAGGCATTGGGAACTCTGTGACATTTTGCTATCAATGCTAATGCTAACAATGCTACTATTTGGACTCCAACAGCTGAACTTGGAATTTGAAGTTAGTCAAAGTCACTTTGTTTTATCTCCAGTGTTCACGGTTATTGTTTGCCTTACAGCTGGATGGTCACTGGTTTGATTCCGTGTGATTTTTGCCAGTTCTCCTCATGCACGGGTTCCAAACTCCAACGATCTGAGGAACTTGTCGTCACTGCCATGTCATTGGACCACCACCAGTGTTCAATGGTAAGTATAGTTTTTGTTGAATAAAAATACTGTAACCTTTAAAAATTAAAATAATTTATTCAACTTAAAGTGAAAAAAACCCCCTTAATGGTGAAAATAAGCTCATTTTTAACATCTAACCACAGACCAGATGTAAGGGGGTTTGTGAGCTAGACGTGTCCTCCGTGTCAGATGTTTGACACCCTCGTCGTGTTATGTGAGTGGGTTTTCTGGCAACATGTCTCTGTGGACAGTTCAGTTTGTAACCCGGCCTTCATCTTTGGACTGCTGTGATTGGCTGTAGAAGGTCTCTGAATGTATATAATATTATATAAAGCACAAATACCGTTCTGACAGTAGATGAAGACTTGGTTAATGTAGATGATGTAGAAATGACGTCATCATCTCAGACGTCCAGGCTCGGTGCCAGACATGACCTCACCTGCGTGTGTTTCTGTCCGTGTTTGTTTGCGTTAACCCCTGACATTCACCGACGCTAACAGATACCAACGCAGCGGCTCACGTGTGTGTGTGTGTGGGTGTTGTTTTGTGCGTGTGTGTGTGTGTGTTGTTTTGTCGTCAAAAGGCCGAGGCTGCACGAGTGTGGCGCGTGTTCACGCCAGGTCACTCTGACATTCGGGTTTCCGTCCAAGTCAGTAAAGCACTTCCACATTGGCAGCCTCAAACTGGATCCCCTCTAATTGTTGCCGCAGATAACGAGAGGAGAAACGGGTCATAAAAGTCCGACCTCTTGGAGCTGACGCTATGAATAGATATTCAGCAGGGCCTGCAAACGCTGAGCTCATAACTTGGCAGGCCCCGCACGAATATCACTGTGGAAATACAACTTCCCCATCTGTTTCATGTTATTAATTTGTCTTTTTTTTTTTTTTTTAACTTTGTCTTAATTTTTTACAAGGGCAGGACTGCTTTATTTTTCCGCCTCGCTCTGCCTTATGGTCATGTGCTCTTGGCAGAGATGCTCCAGATGGAGGGACGGAAAAACGATGCAATGAGGGGAAGAGAAGTTGGGGCAGAGAAGTTTAAAAGAGGACAAATCAGGTCCAGCGCAGGATGTAAACAAACTAATCCGCCAGTGTGAAGTTTTTACACATTTCAGGTTTTCGCCGCGGGCCGTGTGACTCATGCAGCGGCTCTGCGTGACCTCAGATGCTGGCTGTCCGGCTGCTGATGCTGGGAGTGTTTACTGCAGCGAGAACAACTGTGGCAGTGCTGGTCTGATGGGTTCCTAATGGAGTGGATCACATGTCAATAAGTTCTGGCTGCCGAAGAGTTGAAATGTTTATTATATTATATGTCAGGTTGAATCTGATTGGTCCGTCTGATATGTAACAACCTGGTGACTTTTCTGTCTCTTTCTGTCCTTGTCCCTGCTGTTTTTGGTCACTTCAAGGACAACGTGGTATCATCAGCAAACTTGTGTATTTTATACTACAGTATATTATTGGATCATGTTTGGCTTTTAGCCAGTTTTTGGAAGCAATTTTCAGGTTTTTTTAAGCAAATTAAAGCAATTAGATCTTGAATTCACTTTTGAGCTCATCCTTCTAGTTAATATAACTAACTTTAAACTGTTTTTGCCAAATTAAATTTTTATTCACATTTACATTCGGCTCTTTTTAATCAACTTTTTTACATTTTCGTTAGCAATCTGTGGTTTATTTTTGTGCATTGTGAGTGTGAATGACTCTTTTGTAGAGATTTTTTTCAGTGTTTAAAACTCATTTAAAGCTTTTGGCACTAAAGCTAATGTCCTTCCTTTTAACTAAGCTGCAAAAAAGAAATTCTACGTTTTGCAGCTTTATGAGTAAACGTACCGGACACGTTTTTGTATTTGGTCACGTGGATGTAATTAAGGATATGATTCTTGATCGTAGCCACATATGCTAAACATCTAAACTGACTCCAGTAACGACACGTGTCTTATTGAAATGCAGCATTTGGTATCAATTTTTTTTCCTTCTTTTTTTTGGCATACGCTGTCATTCTGAGTGCCAGTTGGCCAGCGTCACTTAGATTTATGAGTGAGTAGAGGGAAAAAAAAGCACTCTTTCAAAATAAAAGCCACAGAGTTGAGCAGAAAGGCCGATTGGGTGCATTTTTATCCGGGGTCATCAAACGCAACATTAATTAAAAGGCTTGTTTAATTATGATGATTACTCTCTGATATTGGTTGGTAACAGCTAGCTAGTGATTAGCATTTATCCCGCCATGACGCTATTAATCTTTCGACTGTTGCACGATTACGCTGTGTAAACATCTTTGAAAGACGAGCTGACTGTGGCCGACCTCGGGGGTCGTGACCCCTGTGCTGGTGTTTTTAGGCAGCGGCTAATGTTTGACCCGAGGACAGACGTGTGGCTACAGGAAGTATCACAGCTCACAGGTTCACAGTGAGGGCAGGAGAAGCCTCTGTTGTGTGATTGGTGATGTGATGGGTTCAGTTTGGGTCGCGACCTCAACTCTGTGGGGGTGAAACGTTGAAGGTTAAACCCTGGTTCATGGTAATAATTCTCTGGTTCAAGCCTGAAGGATGGTAATTGCTTTTGATGGTTCAGGAACACGGATCAAGTTCTGGCTTTTAGTTTGTTTCAAGGTGACGGTTCCGTCAACAAAGCTGCCTGGGTTTACAGCAGTATTTTGATGGTATTTTGAAGCTCTATGTCTCTGAGTCAAACTCAAGGCTCCGGGGGCAAAATTTGCCCCCCGGCATTTAGTAAAGTCCATGCAGAAGAGTTTCTTTTTTTTAATAAACGGCATTGAACAATATTTGTAGCTTAAATAAATAATAATTAATGGCAGAAACATGTATTATTCTGTTATGGAGTAGTTACATCTATATCAGTGGTCCCTGACCTTTTTGGTTCCAAGGACTGGTCAGCCAGTACCACCTGGTTCTACAGACCGGTATCAAGGTGCTGAGCATTGAAGGATCATTACATTTTCAAAATAAAACATCTTTTAGACTCTACTCTGTTTGTACCAAAGTTTGAATCACATATTATTTTAAAATATTGCCAGATTATCTTTAAATAAAGACTGGTAGCAAATGACCTATGGACTGGTACTGGTCCGCGGACCAGGGGTTGGGAACCCCTGATCTATACAGTCTTCCATTTACAACCAGAACTTCAAGGGGAACTGTGTTGCTGATGTCGCCCCCTGGTCTATGTGGAACCAAAATACCTGAAATATGTAGTTTCATGACTTGAAGTAATGTAGTACTTCACTGTATTTGTGCTTATGTCCCAGACTACATTCACGGTGTAGCTGTTAACACTGTTTTTATTTGTGTGCCTGTTCAGACAGTCGGCCAAAGGCTGTGGAGTGACACGTGCCGAACAGAGATGACATCATCACGACAGCGCCCTACACACGTCCAGGACTCAAGGTAAACTCAGACTATCTTGTTCTTCTCCCTG